GATTCCTTGAGAAGAAGTACGTAGATTCAAAAAAGGTAATGTCCATAGTAACATACCGGTTCCCAGAGACTGGATCATAGCAGCGGTACCCTTTCTGATTCTTTGCATATCCAAGGAAGACACATTTCTTTGCCTTGGGATCAAGCTTCGAACGGTAAGGACCAAGGATATGCGCAAAGCAAACACACCCAAACACCCTTGGAGGAATATGAAACATCTCCCCCTGAGGAAAAAGAAGGCCGAATGGAGTGTTGTATCCAAGTATACGAGAAGGCACTCTGTTAATCAGATATACTACCGTGAGAACTGCATCACCCCAAAAACGAACTGGAACTGGAGCTGTGATCATCATGCTTCTTGCCATCTCAACAATGTGTTTGTTCTTCTTCTTTGCAACACCATTTTGCTGTGGACTGTAGGAGCAACTACTCTGATGGACAACACCATACTCCAACAGATATGAGGCAAGATGTCTCTCAAAATATTCCCTAGCATTGTTAGATCTGAACATCTTTATTCTCCTTCCAAACTGTGTTAGTACCATTTGGTGGAATTGCCTCACCAAGGATGGTACTTCATTGCGGGATTTCATCAGGTAAATCCAGGAATATCGAGAGAATTCATCCACAAACAGGAGAAAATAGCGATAGCCGCTCATAGAGGGAACATGATTAGGGCCCCACACATCCGAATGAATATCATCAAAAGGAGAAGAGCATATTTTATTACTAGGTTTAAAAGAGTGTCTACAATGCTTTCCAAGTTCACAACCTTCACACTTCAAACTTGACAGACTCACAGACTCAAACAGTTTTAGAAATAAAGAACTCAGAGAAGAAAAAGACAAATGACCCAGATGATTATGCCAAAGCATAATCCGATCCACAGATTTTGACTCATTGTCCCTGCAAACATGATTACTTTGGTGAAGAGGAAGAGCATCCAGGAGGTAGATTCCATTTACTTCACGACCACTCCCAATCGTCCTCTTTGAATCTTGATCCTGCAAAATACAGCGTTCAGGAGAAAAAATTACAGAGCAGTTCAGATTCTTAGTCAAACTACTAATAGATAATAAATTGGTGCTCAATCTAGGAACATGGAGGACAAAGGGTAAACAAATGGAATCATTAATCTTGACAGATCTCTTCCCAGCAATAGGAACATGGGATCCATCAGCTGTGGAGACCCTATCTCTGCCAGAACAGAGCTTGTAAGAGGAGAAAATAGTGGAGCATTGGGTCATGTGCTCTGAGGCTCCAGAGTCTATAATCCAAGGAGATCTCTCCTTACCTGAAGCAGAAACATAGTTTGCAGTGACATGTGAACTACCTGTGTGGGCAAAGGAGGTAGAGTGAGCTCCACCTGTTCTACTTGTACCTTGTTGTCCGCTTGCGACTGAATTGGAACTAGCTGTATCCCTCTGATTCAGAAGTAACCCAAACCTCTCAAGCTCGGCCCTTACTGCAGCAGCTGCAACGGACTCCAAAGCAGTTGTAGTAGGGGGGGCCGGAGTATCACCGGTAACTGCCATGTGCACATTTCCTTTCTTATTCTTCAATCTGGTCGGCACAAGATGTGGGTGAAGCTTCCAACAAGTGTCTCTTGTATGCTTAGGCTTCTTACAGTAGTCACAAACCAAGTCCCTTTTGTCTTCCTTCTTGTTTTCATTGCCATTCTGTTTAGATTTCACAGCACTTACCGTAGCGGACTGATCAGAAATGAGATTCTTCATCATTACATCCCTCCTGCACTCCTCTCCTGACACAAAGGCATATGCTTGGGAGAGAGTGACATTGTCCCTGGAAAGAAGATGCTGTCGTGCAGTGTCATACTCAGGGTTAAGGCCAGCAAGGAATTCGAACACCCTATACTTCTCTAAGTGTCTTTGATAGGTAGCTGCATCCTTGGTGGTTTCTCAAGCAAAAGTTTCTAGATGGGCGATCTCCTGCCACAGGGTCTAAGGACTGAAAAATAGGCTGCAACAGATCTATCTCCCTGGCTTGTAGCAATAATCTGATTTCTCAGTTGATAAGCCCTAGCAACATTCTCCCTTTGTGAATAGGTTTCTGCAACCCCATCCCACATCTCCTTAGTAGTATTTGCCCATAAAAAAATTTTACTTATATGTGGCAACATGGAATTACACAACCATGTCATTACCATATAATTTTCCTGCACCCTTTGGGAGTTGCCAGTTTCAGGTTTCACCTCTTCACCACTAATATACCCCAATTTTCCACAAGCCCCAATGGCCATCTTTGCAGATTGGGACCATTCGAAATAGTTTGTACCATCCAACCTAACTGTAGTAATGGTCCTAGCTCCGAAGGGGTCTCTAGCACCTCCTTCCACAGGTTCCATTTCATTCCCAGGCTTATATTCAACTATGTGTCCCTCCATGCTTCTCAAAAGGGTATAGAAACAAATAAAAAATGCAGCAAGAACAAACAAAACACCTTTTAGAACCAACGACACTCCTTTGGTGTCCTGGACTTTCTTCCCACGAAAGATTCATTTTCTGTGGGATGGGAGAAGAGAGAGAAAAAGCAACCGCCCTCTCTAGGAGCCTCCAAACCACGTGGGACTTGAATCGCCCCTTATAAAAAACTCCCAAGGAACCCTAAAAGATTAGGGCGCCACTACCTAGGTCAAAATTGAAGAGTCCAACAAAAATAGGACTCTTCCCCTTTCTCTAGTTTTTCCTGATTCTGATGAGAAACCCTAGACCAGCTACAAGGCATATAGATCCATCAAGAAAATCCAAAAACTGGGCTTACCTGAGAGCTTCTCTCAGCCGCTTAAATCTCCATGCAGTTGGCCGATCTAGGGCTGCATGAGAGAATCACTTCCAGAACCTTCAACCTGCTCTGATACCAAGTAGGAACCGCTTTCTGCTGATTCGGTCAAGCTTCTTGTGAAAGTAAGAGGACAAAGTTGTAGATTTTAGCAATAGGAAGAGAAAAGGAAAGAAAGGAGAAGAAGGTCAACTAGGATTGTGTATCATAACCCTAGCTGTCAGCCCTTCATTCTATTTATATTTAACTTAAATATGAGATATTACAAAGATGCCCTTAGTAGGGCAGCAACTCAAACTAAATAGTTACAACTCTTTTAAAAATAAAAACTAATGGGCCCAAGGCCCAACAACTTCTTAATTTAAAAGAAAATAAACTAAACACAAATCGGCCCATTCAACAACACAAATCGGTGGCCCCACTCAACAAAATGATAACATTTTTGATTTTTCAATTGCAAATTGTAGAAAAATATTTGATCTGCTTCAAATCTCTGTGTGAAACTTACATAGAAATTCTTCTAAAATCAAGTTTTATCAAGGGATACCATCAGCTTCTTCTCAGGCATCGGCCTACCACCTACCATTCAACCTGTTGTTGTCATACTGTGGCATTGATGATGCTAAAAGCCAGTGGAGACCTTTGCCAAACTCTTTTGCTCTTATACCAACTTGTGGATTATGATGATTTAATAGCAATAAAAATAAAGAAGAAAAAAGATGAAGAGAGAGAATAGAGAAAATTAGGAGAAAAGAGAGAAAAGGAGATTAGGGAAAGTCATGCATCAATCTTGTATTACTTGCCAGTTTTATTAGCTTAAATACTAATTAAGGTGCAATTACGATTATATCCTTAATTACATGACGAAGCTATAAGACCAGAATACCCTCTGTGGTGTCTCAACAAATTTTGTATAATTTGACTGAGAAGTAGAGCTCAATAAATCTATTGTTAGGTTCTTGAGCACCATATATACTGTTTCTCACATTAAACTATTGGAGCAAGTTATAGGAATGAATAAAGAAACTGAATCAGAAGAGTTGGTGAATTGACTTGGAAGAGTCAAGTGACTTAGACCAGAATAGAAGAAGCCATCGAAGTTGATCCCTTGATTCATAGGGGTCATGCGCATTTTGAGTTATTATTATGATTTTAGTTTTCAGAGTGGACTAAACTTGGTGGAGTCAAGGAGTCAACTTGAAAATCATCAAATTATAATTGGGGAGTTTCACTTCAATTTCTTTTCGGAAATGAATCTGTCTAGATCTTATTTAGTCATTTTATATTTCCAGATAAGTCAGATAAATCAATAATGAATCAATTTGGTATTGGTGTTGCCCATATTGCACACAGATACTTTTTTTTTTCATAACTACTTTCTTTATTCCTGTTCGTCCCACTTTTCTGTGTAACACCAGACTCTGACTGTAAATATAATATTCAGTGTTCTGTTTTAGATATGTTTGTGGAGTTTGGCTATAAGGTGCCTATTGCCATCTTGATGTAAGGCGCTTCATCTGAACTTCGTCTAACAGTGCAAGACAAAAGCCCAACAGTGGTGGGGTTTGTGTTTTGATTCTATTAGATTGAATTGATTTGGATTACCTTAATCTGGTGTGATGGTTGCAGGCACAAGAATAAGTATACTCTGGGCATTTGTGTCTTAAAGCAACAAGAACAAGTATTCCTTCTTGCATTAGGATATTGGAACAACTAACTTAATTTAAGGGTATATTTACAAAATTTGGATACATGGGGATTAATGCAAATACACTGAAAAAGTAGGGCGACAGGTGTACAGCAGATCTATTGTTTTTTGAATATTATTCACTAATCATAATATTCAAGACTTGGCAGGGTGGCCATTTAGGTAAGTCTAGACACCTAGGGATTATTCACATGGATCTATTGTTTTTTGGGCACAAACTAGCCCCATCTTCCTCTGCTCCCTATATATTAATGAGTCACATTTAGCTTAAAAGTCCTCACTACTTGTAAGAATAAATCTCGTGCGTGTGCTTTTTCTAAATTAAAATAATAAACACCATTGGTCAGTTAATATTATGTTGGGAAACTTTAATACAAGGTTAACTATATAACTGACATGGATTGGGGAATAAAAGCTTGGCCAATTCGGAAGGTCCCTTCTGTGTTTTATGCTGGAATCATATGCTTATATTTGTTTTTTTCTTGGAATGGTAGGTGAAGATTATGGCAGAAATGCCTGGTACGTCCCTTTTTGCAGAAGACATTGTATTACGTTTCCCAGGATTGAAGAATGGCAAATCATGGAAGGAAGAGCATGATTTATTGTTATTGCGAGCAGTATTGAAGTATGCTTCTGTTGAATATTAGTTTGTTAAGATTATTATTAATTAAAATTTCTTCTGATTAATTGCTTTTATTGATTCCCATTTGGCTTATGGCTTAGATTTGAGGTTTCTAATATTGGTTGGATTGATTTTTTTCGTCACTAGCTAAACAACATGATATGATATACATTTCTATCAGTGTTTGCATCTTAGGAACCTAATTTTGACTCAATGTCTTTTCTGGATGAAATTTCTCAGTGACCTACTCTTTTGTTGCAATGAGTTCATTGACCTTTAGTATATTTTATAATATAGCCATTTTACAGTGTTGGTCTCAGCTATCCGGAGTCTTAGGAAGGTGGAGTGGAGATTCAGATTGACTGATATTGGTTTGAAGGAAAAAGGCAGGGAAAGGTAGGGAAACCTGTGCAAGGTTTGTTTAGGTTTCCCTACCTTTTCCTTCAAACCGAAAACAGACTTCATCTTTTCTTTTATATTATAGTGACTTATTAATTGAATTATATGAAAATGGTAAGTCAATCATCTAATTGCCATATCCCTATTTGTTCTTGTAGGAAAAAGAATTTTTAAAAAACTATGATGATTTAAATGAAAATTTTGGAAGTTTCTAATAGTATTAAACTTAAATATATAGTCTACCATTGATATCTGAAATATTGTCAAAATATCAGAGATTTTATGAAAAATAGATTATTGGAAAGTTCCATATCACCACCTAGCAAAATGGGGAAATTTTGCCAAATCTCATCAATATTGCAAACCATGTTCCTAAGTACTTACTATTAGTATTACAAGAAGTAAATACAGAAAAATAACCTAGAGAAAGACCAGCAATTTAAAATGATGCGAGTCCCGTCAAAATCTGAAACTCTATCAGTAGAATGGCAAGAACCATCCTGGATCACAACAAATTTGCATGATCCTAGTAATTCTTAATAGGCGACGTAAAAACGTAACTAATGGCACTAAAATCAAGTTGAAACAAAAGAGTTTTGACCCTAAAGCTTAGGTTGCAAAATAAAAAACATAATTATTACTCAAATCTTCTAGATTTCTTTGGTTCCTGGTCTTTGTGTATCAAATTTGTGAGGTTCTTGGTGTCCAACACAGCTTGTTCTATTGGTTTACAATGTTTGCCATTTCTCTAGCTTTTAGATTGACTTGCAGTGGGTGGGGAGAAGTGGAGAGCTGAGCTTTATAAGGATACTGCTATCCAGATCTAGCTCTTTGTATTCTGATTTTTTTTCCTTCTTTTGGATCTCCTTTTTTTTTTTGTATCTTGCTCTTTTGACATTATTAAAGTTTTTATTATTGATTAAAAAAATTACTTGTCAGTGATATTTTATACCATGTTCTTATTAGCAAGACACATGTTTCCTTTCACTTATTTTGTCTCCTACTTATATTTTATTTATTTTGAACTTTTAGGCATGGCTATGGAAGATGGCAAGCAATTGTTGAAGACAAGGATTTGCTTTTTCAGGAAATAATTTGTCAGGAGCAGAATCTCCCCTTTATAAATGTCTCTGTCACGGGTGGAGTACAAATTCATGATGGTTCAAATATGACTCAGCCTGATGGGCCATCTTGTAACCAGTTAAAGGTAGCCGGCAGTGGAAATGAATCTGGATCTGATACTATTTCCCAAAATGCATCTGAAATTGCAAGTAGAAGCCAAGTATATCAAGATCCTTCCCTCTTATATCATTTCAGAGAGATGCAGAGAAGACAAGTTGAATTCATTAAGAAAAGGGTGCTTCTCTTAGAGAAGGCACTCAATGCAGAATACCAGAAGGAATACTTTGTAAGTTGATTTCTATCTTCCTTGTATACCTATCTTCACTAAAATCCCCTGAGGAGCAAACATGTACTAGACCACCCTTTTTTCCCTTTGACTTCATGGGGCTACACAGGGTAGCCTATCATCCCCTTACCCATAACCCTAGCAACCTTGGTGACAGCAAGATTTGATCCCAAGTCTCTGTTTCAACCCGGCAGAGACCTTACCAACTGACCAGTCTATTAGACCGCTTATTTATTTCCACTCACTCATAAAGTCACCTGATCATCTCTCTTCTTTGTTACCATACTGTAGTCTACAAGTAGTCTCCTCTCTCCCACAAATCACATGGCTCTGTTTTTCCCTCATAACTCCCCTTCACCCTCCAGTAACTTTTCTTTTTTTGGTTTATTATTATATTTTTTCTTTCTTCCTTTTAGGACAGGGGAGGGATGAGTCGGTAGTGCATTGCATGGTTTAACCAAGGTGGTCAAATAATTCCTTTACTTCCCTAATATGTGTCTGTGTGTGTATTTACAACATCCAGTTTGGTTTAGCTTTCAGAACATTGTTCTTCAGTATTACACCAATTGATATTAGTTTGCATTGATCATTACTTTTTAATTTGGTGATATTTGTGCTTGTTTGCTGTAGGGTGATTTCAAACCAAATGACACTTCAAATGGAGAACCTGAAACTGAAACCAAGGTTCCAGACATGTCAAGTCCAAGCTCCTTGGATGTTGACACTGAAATGATTGATCAGCTCCCTTCGGTAGAACCAATTGGTAAGCTAGCTCAGACCATTTCAGAATTTTCTTACTTGGCGTTTGGTAGGAATGGACACTTACCTCTGAAAAGAAAAAAAGATTTGAATGTGGTTTTGGACTCTGAATAGACAATCTAATCATCATCACTTTCTCTATGAAACTTATTTGGAGTATTTCCCTAGAGATCATGAAACAATGAAAATGTGTTTTTTTTTTTCCACTCACAATGGAAATGTGAAGATATTATTAGGAAACTTGCCTTAGAAGATAAATTTCTCTCTCAAGGAATATTACTGATGTTCAATCCGAGGTGTCTTGAACCGAGGTTGCAGTCAGATAGTCCTGCCAAGTGCCAACTGGTGATGCCGAGGTGGAAGGACAAAGCCACGCAGCAAGTTTTAAACCAAGAAAAGAGATTAGAGGCCCGAGGAGTGATTCCACGAGTAGACACTCCGACACTCATGTTAGTAAGGAAAGATGGGTGGTCGGGCCGAGCAGTTGAGGCTAATGTTAGTCTGAGCAGTATAATAGTGTGGAGGTTGAAGAGTCAAAAGTTCCTTACCTTGAGCGAGGGTTACCTATTTATAGCCGAGGATCCTTGTCCTATTTGGATGAGGTTTTCGGGGTTGTCGTGGATGAGGTTGTCTGTCAAGGTCTTCGGGATAAGTCATAATCCCTGGTAGAGTTGTCCTTATCCGTACACTACTCTCCTTTCTTGGTTGCGCTTATCCATCCTACGTGGTGCTGACGTGGCCGAAGAGATAAGACGGCCACAGAGGTGACACGTGGCACTCGGGGCTAGCTCTGAGGTCTGAGGTCTTCGGTTGAGGAACTCTTTGAAGTGTATTTTTCCGAGTTGGATGACCTAGGGTGCAGCCAGTTTGAGTGAACTAGCTGGTTCGATGCACGTATCATTTCTGAGACAGGCCAGTAAGAGCGTCATTTCGCCTACCCGAGGCTACGCGCGTGCGAAGGGCAATGGCGTCGTTTCGTCTTCCCCAGCTGTCAATGGTGGCATTTGATCTAAGCCGTTGATTTGCCTTGATCTGGGTCATTGGGAACCCTATAAAAGGGGAGTGAGGAGAATTTTCACTTTGCCATTTGCGAAAGGAGTCCTTATAGAGCTCAGCGAGTAGTCTTCGGCTCGGTTGGTGCTTCGTTTATTACCCTATCGATGTTTGTTTATTACCCTAGAGATTACCCTATCGATGTTCGTTTATTACCCTAGAGATTACCCTATCGATGTTCGTTTATTACCTGCAATTGAAGCATCACCATTTGGGGTATTACTACTCGGCTCGGAATCATAACAAGGTGTTGGTTGGGGACCCGTCTTCGGTGAAGTGTTGGAAGGAGAAGTTCTTTGTGCACTACCTTGAAGACTGGTCGTTCCTTGTCGAGCTCCAAAAGCTAATGACTAAGGTGAAGGCGTCCTTCTCGATGTCAATCTATGCTGGGCTGATGAGTGAGACTGGTCTGTGTCGTGTTAATCTTTTCTGGGCTTTCTTTTATTTACGAGCTCTTTACTTGGTGACTGACTTGGTGTTTGTCTTGCGCATGTGTTGAAATGGCCATCAACAAGGACGTAGCTCGTTGTATGAATGCCGTGACAAAGAGAGTGTGTCTGGAAGGGCCCAGGGCACACAACCCCGGGTCCTTGAGACACAACTGTGGTCTGCGGAGCGATCACTCCTTACCTCCGAGGGAGAACATGTCAGAGAGCGGTACTGTCAACGTCTACTAGTCGCAATGGAGGGGTCGGCTGAGTGATGGGCTTGAAACAGAGGGCGTTCCCGAGAAGTTTGCTCGGGGTTTGTTTGTTGATGCCCGCCATCAAGCAAGAGGTCTTTGGCATGACGAGCAGTTCCTTGGAGAGCATGGCTTTGCGGCAGTTCGTGGCGGTAAGTTTTCTCATTTCTTTTGTCACTTTACTTCGGTTGATTATTGTCTTTGATGTGTCGATGGTTGGTCTTTCCTTTCAGAACGCTTGCTCGGTCGCCGGCTTGGTCGACCGCCTTCGGACACTGCGGCGCCTTTACGAGGATGAGCAATTGAGGTCTCAGGTTCTCAAGCTTGAGGCTGAGCTTTCCGAATTAAGGCACAACATAGATGAGTAGAACGATACCGTCCACAAACTGAAGAGCCACGTCACTGAGTTGAAGGAGGCATGGGACGCCTTGAGTAAGGAGCTCGGGGAGGCCGAGGAGAAGGTTGCCCAGGTGGAGGAATATGCGGTCGCCAAATACAAGGCCTCGAAGGACCAATTCAACTTGGACGACTGGGCTACTTGCTCCTGGGAGGAGGGGTTCAACCTTTGCTGGAGGAGGATTGTGCGCCGGCTCACTGATGCTACTGAAGTCGCAGAGGGCTTGGACCTGTTTGATCCCCTACGCCTGCCGAGGAGCACCCGACCGAGGGTTGAAGTATTTGACTAGCGCTGCTACTTCTGTTGCCAATCCTTTTTCTTCTCTCTTTTTTTGTAATGTATATAGCTTGGTATGTTGAGCCTTTTGACATGCAAATATTTTTAATCAATAAAAAGAGATCTTTTTTTGGCCCGAGCTGTGTGTTTTCTTTCCTCCTTTTATTTTGTTGAACTTGAATGAGTGGGTCAGTCGTAAGCCTCGGTCTTATTCTAGCCGAGGCCTGGAGTAGCCGAGATCTTGATGGCTTCATGATGGTCGAGGTGCTTTCGATCTCTCATCGCTTGGGGGATGCTTAGTGGCACCTGGTCTTGGGGAGCCTTGTGCTCTTTTTGGGCTAGCCGTGTTCCTCGGATGGCTTTATTCTGACAAACTGCCAGTTGGTGTGCGTAGTTCGATGGCTGCCCTCTTGCCTTGGAGGCATGGGCGTCGTTTCCGCTTCGTGCTTCGGCCGTTGGAGGTTGGCCGAGTCTACTGGTCGTCCTAAGTCGGCTGCGTGCTACAGAAATGTGAAGGTGTGTGTGGTGACAAGTGCGTTTGGTGTGCGGTGTGTGTGTTAAGTAGTGTGTTGGGCAAATACTTAAGCCGTTAGTTCGGTTGGGTGGTGCATGCGGTGCAGTGCGTATTGGCCAATTGGATGAAAAACAAACTTTATTGTCCTTAACTATTGGTAGTACATCCTCAGGTTTTCGGTGTTCCAACTCGGTACGGTTTTTCCGTCGAGGTCTAACAACCTGTAGGTACCAGGTCCGAGGACTTTGGTTACTTTATACGGTCCTTCCTAGTTTGGTCTGAGCTTTCCTTCTCTTGGCGCAGGTTCTATGACTTTGCGAAGGATGAGGTCGCCTGTCTTGAACTCTTTTCTTTGGATTTTGGAGTCGTAGTACTTAGCTATCCGGTGCTTCTACGCTGCCATCCTGAGGTATGCTCGGTCACATGCTTCTTCCACTAGGTCGATCTTTGCCTAAAGGTCCTCGTTTTTCTCGTTGTCGTAGAGCTCGGCTCGGAGAGTTGGGGAGCCTATCTCTATGGGAATCATGACTTCGGTCCCGTATACTAGCTTGAACGGCGTCTCTTCGGTAGCTATCCGTGGTGTGGTTCTGTACACCCAAAGGATGCTTGGCAGTTCCTCAACCTACCTTCCCTTGGCCTTGTCAAGTCTTGTCTTTAGGCCGTGTAGTAGGGTTCAATAGGTCACTTTGGCCTGTCCGTTGCTTTGTGGGCCGGTGATCTATCTTTAGGTCAGCACAGTGGGACCGGACTAGAGAGTCTGGTCTTCTTGGAGGCTGTCTTTCTTGATCAGACAGTGCCCTATGTTTATTAGAGCAACGCTTTTGGGGGTCCTCAAGATGAGGATCGGTCATGGAGAGCGCCTGGACAATAGGGGGCAAGAATCTGGTCGACCTTTTGCTACATCACTTGGAACTGAGCGGGGTCGACTGCAGCTTGTGGCTAGGGCTCCCGAGGTGGAGAGCTACGGCGAGAACGAGATCCCTAAGATGGGGATCGGGTTGTAAAGTGTTCAAATGCATTTCTTGGCATGTTTCTTGATTGCATGGAAGAGGATTTGGGAATGATTTTTCGTATGTTTCCCACAGACGGCGTGAATCTAATGTTGTTTGATCCGAGGTGTCCCGAACCGAGGTCGCAGTCAGATAGTCTTGCCAATTGGTGAAGTCGAGGTGGAAGGGCGAAGCCGCATAGTAAGATTTGAAACTAAGAAAGGAGATCAAGGGCCCAAGGAGTGATTCCCCGGGTAGGCACTCCGATGCTCAAGTCAGTAAGGAAAGATGGGTGGTTGGGCCGAGCATTTGAGGGTGATGTTGGTTTTAGCAGAATAATAGTATGGAGACTGAAGAGTCAAAAGTCCCATACCTTGAGCGGGGGTTAATATTTATAGCCGAGGGCCTGTGTCCTAGTCAGATGAGGCTTCCGGGGTTGTTGGGGATGAGGTTGTCTGTCGAGGTCTTCGGGATAAGTTCTAATCCCTGGCGGAGCTGGCCTTCGATCTGTATAGGGCTCTCCTTTCTTGGTTGTGCTTATCCATCCTACGTGGTGCCGACGTGGCCGAAGAGATAAGATGGCCGCGGAGGTGACATGTGGCACACAGGGCCAGCTCAACCATAACCCAAACAATTACTAAGCTGTTTCCAATATAAGAAGGGATTCTTGCCTCGTTGGTGTTAAGGCTCCCCAGTTCTTATCCTTAGTGTTGGTGAAATTTTAATGACAATGTGGCTGGAGTAGTGAGACTGCCTAGCTTTCTGTTGCTGCCAAATATGAGGTCGAGGGCAACAAGGTGATTTCGCTAGTGTTCGAGGCCAATAGGTCTGGTCTGTAAACAGGAGAAGAGCACACGCTAGAGGCCCCAAGTGTTATCCCAGGGGCGGAGACTCCGGTGGACCAGGCAAGAGACGAGAGCTCAAAGCTTAGTTCTTAATAGCCAAGAATGGTTCTTTTTTCCATCCTTGCCTTGAGGTGAGTGCCCCTTTTTATAGCTAACCTTGCCTTAAGAGTGGTTGGAAGCAGTTGGTGATGTGTGGCCAGGATTTGATCTGGCAGATGCCACATGGCGCGATCTGAGGCCAGCCAAGTATCCCTACATCACTTTCTTTTCTTGTGTTTCTTCAAACACCAACCTAGAATCAAGAAGCCTTCTCAGCCCCGGCGCTTGTACCTGCCTATTATTAGTACTAGAAAGTTTGTTGATAAGGTGACAAGCTGTCAGAAATATGCACCAGTCTTATGTAAAATACTTAAAAGATTCCTGGTTTGAGTTCAACTATACATTTTAGTGTAGCCTCCCCATATTATCAGGAGTAAAAATGTTTCTGGATAAAACAAACTTTGTTTTTATTTGTCCACTTATTCCATACAGTACCGTATGTTGTTGGAGGGTGAACTGAAGTTTTATTACAAATTTATTGTTCAATTACCTGGGCAAAGATCTTACATGCTTGAACTTGGGCCATGATATCATTTTGTTTACACTAAAGTCGTAATATCTTGCAGGGCCAGAAGAATTATCAACACTGGCCTGTGATGACAGACCAGATCGTTTGGAGATGGGCCGGCTCTATAACGAGGCAAGTCGATTTAAACGTAGTTTAACTGCATGCAAGAACTTGAGTAAAAGATCTGTATGTTGTTTCTATGAGTGCATGGGCTCAATCCAGTGCATATACATAGGAACATAAAGAAAGAATATTAACTTTGTCTGGCATTATGACTAATTATTCTAACCTTTGATTGGGCAGATTTGTAAAGTCGTAGCAGATAACACCAATGAATCAATCCATACATACATGGGGAGCAAGTCTGCGGGTGCTAGATTGAGAAAGAACCTAATTCCGCTTGAGTCTCTTTATGAGGATGTACACCGAATTCTTGCTCCTTTGGACCAAAATTCCATTACCTCGGAACAATTAAATGTAAATCCAAATCAATCAATACAGCTTGAAGGTCAGAATGTTGTTGCAGAACGTGGTGCATCATCAGCCAAAGAGGAAGATGGTTGTCGACCTGTTTCAAAGTTTGAATCTGAGCCAAATGTTCCTACAGAGGATTCAGATCCTTCAGGTGCCACAAATTCTGGAAGGGAAAGCAGTAAATTGTCACGTACAGCTTCTGCATCAGCAGATCAGTTGGCAAGAGAATCCTCTTCTTCACCAAAGAGAGTTGAAGGTGATGAGATGGTAACGAAAAAAGACGATGGTAATGTTGCACTAAATGAGACCGCAGCAAAATCTGAAGCAAATGTCATTATTTTAGATGATTGATTATATCGTAACGCCCGCTCAAGCTGTGCTATGTTTTCCCTGTTTCCTCTTTTTGTACTCTTCATTTCTTCATAAATTCATTAACATGGGGGACACAAGCTTAAGTTTGTTGCCTCCAGTGTTGTAATTTTGATGGTGCTGCTTTGTGAGAACAATTCAGTGTAATCTAGTCACTGGTTAATGTTGATTAAAGTTGAAATATACACGAGCTTCCACCTTGGGTAATTACCGGAATGGATGGATATTGTGTGTGTGTGTGTGTGATTTCTCCATTCAACGTTCTCAGTTAAAATGCAATGTGCGCTTCTAAATAAGGCAGGAAATCAGGGATCGAGGACTATATAAGGTTGTGCTTGGCAGTATTGCTATTTCTATGTTGATCAGTATAAAATTGTGGGAGTCGTCACATCACGAAACTGTTTATGTTTATTAAACTCGACTGATCATGAGACTGAGTAGTTGAATTCATGGCACTTTTGTTTTTACCCGTTAAAAAATCAACTTTAATAATGGATGCATATTAATCTTAATAATTAGATTATTAACCAGATATGGATGAATGACCAAATTACAAATGCATTGGATATGGATCTAAAATTAAATGGGTTATATTCAAATTCAAATTTGGACGCCCTACGTTACTAGATGTAACAAAAAATATAAAGCGAAGAGAGGGCCGTGGATCTTTATGATAAGCTAGTCAATTGTGGTTAGCTCTCCCCCATGCCCTATGGTTGTTGTAGTGGAAATCTTCCCTGCGAGGCATCAAGACCATCTAACCATTCTGGCTTCAGAGTAGTGTTGGATCACATCCAAATTAAAATCAATTTGAACAGGTTGGATGGTCTCTAATAAGACATTGAATTGGATCTGTCCAGACTTAATAGTCCAAGGTAAGGGTAGGGTGTCAATGGATTAATTTGGGTTGGGCTCAATCTAATAAGACATTGCATTGGAGTGTCTTTCTAGGTAAAATTTGCTCAGGCACTCTAACCTCTCTTTCGTTTCAGCAGATCCCAGCTGGAACCCTCAGCTCGACTCACCACAAATTAAACCCAGTCCGAGACACCTCATCAAACACGAGGGAGTGAATAGATTCTATGCTTCATCTATTGGTGGGCATATTTTGTGCTTCATCACAAGCTTATGGTGGGTCTCAGTCTTATGGTGAGATGTGTGGACATAAAGTATTGGAACGTTGGTATACCTTTAATGGTATGCTCGTGTGTATTTCAAAACTTTGGAATACCTTTAATGGTGTTTGCATGTATATAACCATTGTTCATATCTTGGTTTAACCTTGGTCTGCAGTTTGCACTATCTAGTCATTTTTTTTAACAGAAAGTTAAGGGAACATTTGGATCCCTTTACATGAATTCTCAAAAAGGTTGGTGAGATTTATGGAGTTGGCATAGCTATTTACAAAAGAGTTCATATGCTTAGCTCTCCTTGCCATTTCATGGGCTGGCAAAATAACATCCCTACTTACATACATAATTTTTATATTATCAAAAAGAGATAAAAGTTCTAAAATATGGCCGTAGAGAGTTTGCTGGTCCCACTGTATCCTGTTGTTTGTCCCTTTGAGCTTTGCTAACACTGTTTTGGCATTTGAAAACAAAAAACCAGTCTTTACACCCATACAAAAAAACTTTCTTAATCCTCTAATCACTGTCCAGAGCTTTGCACTATCTAGTCATGGTTTGATGACCCTAGCAAGAAACACATACAAACTTACATGCTTCATTCATTTTGAAACAATGTTTCACGCGTCCAAACTGCAGAAAGTCAGAACCTCAACCCAATTTCTAAAATATTACATGACAGAACCCACGCCTGAGACGACCTTCCCAGATCGCTATAATTGTATAAAATTTTTGTGTCTGATGTAATCCGATCGATAATTTCTTTAAGCTGCGTTTGGCAAAAGAGAGTTCAGATCAGATCTCAACAACTGGAGTTCACATCTCCCCCCCCCCACCCCACAGCGCATCCCTGCCATGTATCGGGAACATCTCCCGATGATATACTAGAATCGATGATGTCATCATTGGGAGATGTTACCAATACAGTCGTGCATTAAGAACTTGTACAACTGTAATGGCTGCTGGGACCCTTGTTGGGACTAGATCTGGTGTCGTAAGAAAAGGTATTTCCTATCTTTTTTTTCAAATCAAAACAGCCTTAAGCTTTCTTAAGCTTTGTTATGTTATGATATTCTTTTATGGTCCACCATCCACCGGAAAATAATGCTTATCCACGTTGATTTTTTAATTATATAATAGTTAAACTTATTAGGCGAGTGAGATTCCATAATCATGTTTTCAAAATCGGACTGGATCAGAAAAACCAGGAACCAGTCACCCGTTTTATACTTTTATCCCAAAATCGCTTTTTGGCCAAAAACCATTGATTGGGTCAGTGAACCATTGATCCGGATGGTCGAACCATCGACTCAAACAATAATTTTTGACCATTTTTTTTGTTTTTTTTTTTAAATTTTTTGTCAGAGTGGGTCATTCATTTGGTCCAAATGATTGGACCATTCTATCTGAGAATCGAATCCAAAACGGTTCTTATTCGATCCAGTTTTAAAAACCTTGCTATATTTTGTATTTAAACACTTGGGACACTGGCATGTTCACTTTTGATTGGTCAGTGGTGACGATTGCACACCTCTTTGTTTTTACAAATCCTATGTGCTGTACAATGAGCTGAAAGGGGCATATACAACGGGCTTTGTAAATTGTAATCAATCCAGAGTGAACACACCACACGAGTCTGGATCTGTTCCATATACATTGATGATGAAACCATGAAATTCATGTTTGAGATGTGCAGCCATAGATCATGTTAGAAGTATGTGTTGGGAGCAGATTCAAGCTCACCACACACATATATATGGGTATGGAAACAAAATGTCCAATAGGTATATGGATCATTGTCATGTTGTTAACTCTTAATTGGTTACGTATCCTTTCATACACATCATTGTTTATAAATTTGAAGTTTGTCCTCACAGACTTTTGCGGCTACAAATTGGGAACAGCTTTGTACTTGTATAATATTCCCAAATCCAACATTGATGAATACACCTAGAAGTCAACCGTCCATGCTTAAGCAACTAATATTAATCATGGTTGGTTAGCTTAACCAGGGTTAGTTACTTAAACAAGTATGAACAGAGAATAAATCCATGATCCATCAGAGCTTTAGCATCGTCTTGGTTCAATGCCTGAGAATTAAGCAAACTAGTGGGTGGTCACTTGTCCCAGGTGTGATCATAATTGTGAATGCTTTTTTCTTCTTCTTCTTCTTGTGTTTTTCTTTTCAGTCTTTTATCTTTACCATTCTTCAATTCTCCCATTTCTGTCCTAAATGTAATTATAAATATACAGATAAGATTGCTTCAGTTTAGAATATATCTTGATGGAACTAGTATTTATTAAAGGATTGGGTTCCCAACTTAATCTATGAGTTGTAGAGATATATATGATGAGTGAACTTTGGCTCTTGTAATGTACAATCACTTTTTTATGGTGGATGTTAAATAAAGAGGCGTGGACTTATCATTCACCATTAAAAGTGATCGTAGCTACAATTTAAGTATATGTTTGGTATTGATGATGTAGATAGAACAATGGCATCGATGCCAAACAGACACTAAGGCTATGTTTGGTTTGAAGGAAAAGGTAGGGAAAAGAAGGGAAATACAGGGTAACCAATGCAAGGTTTGTAAAGGTTTCTCCACCTTTCCCTTCCTTTCCCTACATTTTCCTTCAAACCAAACATAGCCTAAAAAGACAGTTTTTTTCCATGGGAATGGGAAATTTTATGATACTAGAAAGATATGGTACCAAAAGAGATTTGATCAATCAAAGTACCTGTAAATTTTGATTAATACCACTTAATTGGTCACCTTTTTTATGAGACCAGGTAATTTTTTCCAGTATATATGTCTTTCCGGTATGATAGCCGAACCCTTTTCCTATAGGATTTGCCATACCTTAACAGCTTTTCAAATTTCATCATCATCTTTTTTTTTCTCTCTTTTCCTTCTTCTTTTCTAACATTTCCTGAATAGTATTGCAATTTTGCATTTTCCTGCTACTTTTTTTTTCACTTTTTTGTATCTAGACAAGAAGGAATAAGTAATAGGAGATGGGGGATTCATATGAAGAAGCCATCGCCAGACTGAAAAACGTCATCGGGTATATCCTCCTCTGCAACACACAATTTGCTTAATTTGTGATTTCAGTCTCGGGTCTATATTGGCTGGATGATAGCTGCAGGAACAGAACCACCACCGAATGGGTGGGGCCGACTCAAAATCTGCATTATCGCATAAATTAAACTCGGTTTGGTGATCCATTTCTATTATTATTATTATTATTTGGGTGAGCAATGGCCCATTGTTTCAAGTTCACATCTGCCCCCATAGAATGTGCCTCAAAAACGTTCCATAGCACACCCTAACCGTGTATCTGAAACATCTCCCAATGACAAATATAAAAGATGTTTTCAATGTACATTGAGATGTGTATGTGAGGCATTTTTTTTGGGGG